AGTTTTGTGTTCAATGTCTTGTTCAGCTTGTTGCCAGCAATAAGCAGTTGTTGGTGGACTACTATTGACCAAGTATAAATTGACAAGTTTTATTCAAAAAAAATTTCTTTTTGAATGAATTTACTTTATTTTCCTTTTTTATAGACAAATTCATCAAGTAGACTTCCTCAATTTTAATAAGGCATAGAGTTCACATCTTTAATTTGAATTGATAAATAACACCTGCCTCAGGCATAACAAATCTTAATATCCTGTTCATAACAAATCTCAATATCCTTTTGCATTAGAAAAGATTGAATCAAAAAGCAACTTCAAAACCCATAGGTTCAAAGCTGTACAACTTTAATTGACAAAAACAAAAAAGAAGCACATCACTATTGACATAGCATAGGTAATTTCATTAAGCTTTGCATATCAAAACTCAAAGTTTAAGGGTTTACTAAATTCAAAACCCAAATACAACCCCCCCTCCACACACACACACACAAAAAGGTTACATTCACTTCAATAGTGCTATTAGCATGGTAAAACCAACCAACACTATGGTTGTCAGCATAATTAGTTTCATAGCTTCTTGGTTTGCCTCAACTCATTCCAATCTATTTATAATTTCATTGATTCTGTCAAAATCATAATCATACCTTCTCTCATCTTCATTCTTCGTATGAATAGCTTTACTTCTCCTTTGGATATTTGATGCATTCCCAGTAGGAGCCGCTCCCTACGCAAAGTACTCACACATCTTATCTGCACACTTGAAATACAGCCTCCCTGGATTTTTCTCTAATTATGATATGTACATTGTTGCTTTTTTTCCACATTTGCATCTTTTATTTTGCAAATATCTAGCATCAATGTTTGAACCCATTGACATGTTAATCCTAGTAAGAGCATTTTATGACACAATCAGTCTATTACAACTTAAGACAACATTCAAACAAAGATGTAAAATAAAACAATAATCAATGCTTTGTTTAGTCCATACATTCAAACAATCTGTTTTCTGCCAACAACCACTGCAGGTAATGGAGTAATGTTTTCTTTAAGTGGTTTCTCCTTCTGAGTCTGAATACTGTTAGCATTTTCATGGTTGATGATGAATCAAGATTTTCAAATGAATCTAACAGTAATAACAATGTCAACAATATATATTTAATATGCATTTCAAATTGTTATCATTTTCATGTACATATATTATGACTAACACCAAAACAAACAACCTAGATCTGCTACAATGCTTTGTTTAGTCCATACATCTGCAACAAACCCAAAGAATAAAATAATAAATTTCCCCAAAAAAGGTTTTTAAATTTTCGTTTCTATCAAATCTTTGAATCATTAATTGAAAACAAAGCAAGGACAAGTCAACTTATTTGGGGCAAATTCAGTGTTTAGTAATAGCAAAATAGATGGAAAATTAATCAGCTATCAAAGCAAGCAAGCACAAGTCACAAAAAGAGACCAGATGAAAAATTCAGCTATTAGTAATACAAAACCAGATGGCAAATTTAGCTATCAGTAATAGAAAATTAGATGAAAAATTCAGTGTTCAATTAATTATTATTAATTTATTGAAAACAAAGCAATCACAAGTCTGAAAGAGAAAACCAGATTATTGTAAGATAGAAAATTCCTCAGCTATCAAACAAAAAATTGAGAATCTCATATTTGAGATTATTGTGAGAAGATTACACATAACCTTGTAAGCATAAGAAATTGATTTTTAATGTCATTATTCCAACTAAAAAATATGAAGCACACGAAAATTTGAGACAATGAACTGAGACAGAGAGTAGAGAATGTAAGACAGGATGTAAGTAAGCGCAATTTCAGAGGAAAAAAATCAAATGCTGATGAAACAAATAAAATTGGAAAAAAATTCAACTTAACAACAAATCTGTTTCCACAACAAACCCTAGATCATCAAAAAAAATTGGAAAAAAAATTCAAATCAACAACAAATTTGTTTCCACAACAAACCCTAGATCATATATATACATAAATCAAACACCAGACAAAACAAATCAAACGCATCTATTTTTTTGAACAATTCAAACTATGGCAACAAATCATATATATATATATGAGTAAAAAAAATAAGAAGGAAGACGAAAAGGACGAAACGGACCTCGTCGCCGTCACCTCCCCCTCTTTGTCTGTCTCCTGCCGCTTCCTCTCGCCTCACCTCTGCCTCTTCTCTCCTCACCTCCGTCGCCTCGCTGTAGAAGTCACGTCGCCTGGCCGTGTCGATCTCTCCGTTCGTTGCCTCTCTGTTCGTCTCATTGAGAGGGGCAAGGGTTCAAACACTCAACAAAACAAAAAGAGGCTGAAAAGCAAAATATAAGAAGAAAGGGAAAAAGAAAAGAAAAAAAAAGGTTTCAAAACGACCACAGGGGCCACTGCAGGAAACAACAGCAGAGGATCCGGACTTGTAAATGAGTCCAAAAAAAATACAAAAGCGTGAATTTGGATTTAAGTATCTAAAATTTTAAAAAGCGAGGGACTTTTTGAATATATTTTTACATGGACTCATCTCGGCAACATTATATTTTAGTTTAAAAATTAAAAAATTATTAAAAAAATTAAAAATCTAATAAATTATACAAAAAGTTAAAGATTTCATTTTCTCTTTACTCTTTACACATATTTTCATTGAAAACTAAAAAATCATCCCAAACATACTAATTTTTTACCTCATATTTTAACAAAAAAACCAAAAAATTACTAAAATAATCTACTTCCAAACGAGGCCTTCATCTAATAACAACTTATTAAAATCCCTGGTATTAAGATTTTATAGGATAGAGGACATGCAATATTTTCATAATGGTTGGGATCCCTCAACATTTTTTCAGAGAAATTTCGATTTAGTGAAATTTCAAAACACAAAGAAATTTGTATTTCTCTGTATTTTGAAACTTCTCTAGTTTGCTCAATTTCTCTAATTTTCTCTATATTTTGAAATTTTTCCTGGCATTTAAAATTTCTCTAACCACATTAGACTCCAGATTTGTGTGCGATAGCCAGAGAAATTTGTAAAAATGAAGGGTATGTTTGGTTTGGCTTTGTAGAGTGATTTTGGAAAAAAAAAAATTCCAAAAAACTTGTTTGGTTTGTAATTTTTCCAAAACAATTTCCAAAATCACTTTATCTCTCTTACACATCAATCAATCATTTTTTCTCTCACACACATCTACTCAATTACAACAAAATAACAAATCATTTCAAACTTCCAAACTCCAAAACTACTTTTAAAATACACAATCAAACAAACCAAAAAAAATTCTAAACTCTCTCCCTAAAACAATTTTTAAAAACTACTCTCTCAAAACCAAACCAAACATAAATTTCTCTAATATGTTGATTTTCTCTACAATTTCTCTAGCATTAAGATATCCCCTTGAGATATGAAATTTTTCTGAAATTCCCCTTGTGCCTGTTGATTTTCTCTGGGATAAATTTCTCTATGTAATGGCAAAAGAAATTTGATTTTCTTCTCCTCATCATATGGATTTTCTCTTGCCAAATCACACATTCCCCTTGTGATTTTCTCTAGCCAAATTAACTCGAAATCAATAAACAAAAATGATTCCCAAAAGGGAGTCAGAATCGGAGTTTCACACAACACAACCCCATTATGACATGAAGATAAAGATCTGATTGTAGTAAAATGAATACAATAATAATGGGAAAGAAATAAAAAACACACAGAAATGAAGGAAAAAAAGGTAGATGAGAGATTAAAATTACGTGCAATCCTGCCATTCCATGACAAAGGAAAAGGGTTTGAAGATTGAAGAAGAAGATGAAGTCCTCTTGTTCTTGTTGTTGTGGGTCCCATGTGAAAGTGGGTATCGAAATTCGACGAAGATCTGGCCGATGACAGATAAGCTTCTGGAACTGAGAAGAAGGGAATGGTGGTGGTGATCAAAGATGAAGACTCCATATGTGCATCTTCTTTTTCTCAAATTCAATAAGTGGTTGTAAGAAGGGTGGTGAGAGCGAGCCCAGTTGAAGAAGCGAAAGGACTCGGCGCCAAAGTGGGAGCAACTGCGAACGACGCTGTAGACGAGCTCGGAGGTGACAGTGGAAGAGGAGATTCGCATCTTGTTTAGGGTTCACTCCATGTAGATGTTGCAGCGAACGATATTGGAGATGTGGTGGATTGCTACAAAGTAGAGAGAGAGAGAAAGAGAGAGAGAGAGAAAAAAAACCGATTGAAGAGAGAGAAAAGAGACAATGAGAGAGTAGGTATGGGTGTGAGTGTGAGGGACCTTAGGCTATAAAAATAAATATTGCAGACCTCTTTCATTATCAAAAGTTAAACACGGATGTTAGACTAATTATCTCACTCATTTCGACAACATTACATTTTAGTTTAAAATTTAAAAAATTAAAAATCTAATAAAGTATACAAAAAGTTAAAGATTTCATTTTTTTTTACTTTTTACACATATTTTTATTAAAAACTAAAAAATCATCCCAAACATACTAATTTTTTTACCTTATATTTTAACAAAAAAAATCAGTGCGTTACTAAAACAATCCATTTCCAACTGAAACCTTAATCTAATAACAACTTATTATCTGTTCGTTTGGCAATAACTTTTTTAGTTAACTTTTTGACTTTTTTAACTTGAAACTTTTTTAATTGTTTGATATTCTTGTTTGGCTTTTTGACTTTGGAATGGTATATTTTTTTTGTCTTTTTGCTTATTTTGTCCTTTTGTGATTTTTTGACTTTCTTTTGTCCTTTTGTGATTTTTTAGTTCAAAATGTTTACCAATCAACTCCTATGGAGGATGTATTACTAATTTTCTTTTAAAAACTCTAATTATTGTGAAATAAAGAAAGACATTTTTATTTTTATTTTAATATTATCAACTTTTACTTGGAACAAGCCCAGTCACTAGCTAACATGCTTTTGCCTTTCAACCCTCGTTTATACCGATTCAAATCTTTTATTCAGACTATTATGCCCCATCAATTTTGAACCACCGTTTCCAGATCATAAATATGGCTAATCCTTGAGAGCACCATTTTTTTCAAATATACATAATTTCATTTCTCATTATCCTGCAACATACAGGCTTTCTGCGACTGTTCGTCCGAAGAAAGTTTTCTTTCATCATACATAGCCCCAGATTCTACATGATAAGCCAGTTCCAATTGAGACCCTCCTACCACTGATGCTGGACCTTCACAGGACAGCTTTGAAAAATGTTCATGCAAAGTAGCATCTTCATCTGTGTCTACTTGCATGTTGTTGCTATCACCGTCAGTATGTCCTGTTTCCATTTGAACGGCAACTTCTGTCAGTGAAGGGCTTCCATCTGATTGTCTAGTAAGATCAACAGTGGGCCCTCCTTCGGAGCAAGCACCTGCTTTAGTTGGATTATATCTGCCCGAACGTTCAGGATGACCTGAATCTGTGTTTCCCCAAGAAATTTTAACTTCAGTTCCCCAAAAAATAGAAGAATTTTGAAAATGAAAACTAAAGAAAATTCTCAGAATTGGCTCATTTTTTGTTGACTTTCTTTTTCTGTCCTACCAAACGTTGGAAAATGTGGAAAACAAAAATGAAACGTTTTCTACCAAAGCAAATAGAGTATAAGAATGGGGAAGAAAATGCCCACCTCCTTGTTGACCCGTTGACTGGTTTTCAAAAAGGGGCTTCTTCAGCCATACCGTTCCAGGAAACACCATCAAGTTGATAGTACTCAGGCTTTTCTTCTCATTACATTCCAAGGGTTGGAAGCCAAAACCTTCAGTCCATGTCTCCACTAGACTAGGAATGGCAGATATCACAAGCTTCTCAACCTTGAAAGATTTCAGCATCTAAAACCATGACAGATTTAAACTCGAATATGTAAATAAATAGCTCAAATATATGCAAGAAAAACCAATTATGAAAATCAAAAGACATAAGATTGTTAGAATGTATGGCATGCCATTTCTCAGTGCAATGGTAAAAGCTTGGATCCTGTCTCCAAGCAAATAATGCCAGAGGTTAGATCTACACCCAATCTACCTCTTCCTACTGACAACTGAGTCACATTGGTGTGACCAAAGTTGAACAACGACCATATTCTATATTGGTTTTGACACAGTGATACGGGGCAAATATTTGAAAAAGATAAATGAATTCGTTCACTTAAAAAAGACATCCACATATACATACATGTGTATTTCACATATTGGTTGGGATCTATGCTAGTACTAGCTATTTTTAATTCTTCTTGTAATGTTTGATAAGAGAATACATTGTAATTTACCAAAATAGAATAAAACCAGTAATTTTTTTTTATTATAAGAGTTTAAGAATGCAGTCCCCTATGGGAAAAATTACCTCTTCCATGGCATTCATGAGGCGCCGACACATTCCCTGGCGCCGATACTTACTGCAAGTTGCAATAAGTGGCATCTCTGCAACTGTTGCTCCATGGATCCTGCATGACAATTGTTTCTTGAATATAAATTGGTACTACTTGGATTATTGAAAATTCTACAAAATAAAGTTCTAGACAACATCCAGAAAGAAATTTAGCTAAGAGTGGCTGCAATGAAGAACATAACCACATAATTTGAAATAATATAATGAAACATATTAAAAAGTAGCGGGAAAGGTCTGATGCTTCAAGAAAATACATGGTCTCACCAGACCATGGCAAAAACAGAAACCATTTTTGTCAATACGAATTATCTCAGGTGATAGACAATTAAGTAGGATGAACTTCACCATCTTTTTCATTGTATAATTTTAAAAATAACATACAGATTAATATTTATACACAGTTCTCTGACCTACAAAGCACCAAACATTCATATACCAACAAACACCAGCAAGGCTTACTCAAAATACATCCCAAACTCAATTATAAAAGTTCACTTTCATCACAAATGCTCAAACATGAAATCATACGACTATCATGAGACTGATTAAGATTACTAATGGTTTTCATAGAGATTCTGAAAAATAGATAATTACAAGGAAATCACTAATGAAAACTACCTGACTGAAGCAACACACATCATGACATCATCTTTCACCAAAATCATGGTGTAAAATCCATGGTAGTTCAGACGTGCAAATTCTGATCTGTTAAAACCAAAGGATTAGTTCAGCAGTAAAATTGACGAGCAAACTAAAAACAGTTTGCAATGTAAAAGGAAGGAAAAACAGTTCCAAGGTCAAAGCCTTAATTTAGTCAATAATTAACTTAAAAGTTCAAAGAGGAGGACTAATAAAGTACAAAATTTCCAATAGTCCGAAGATAGACTCAAAATATATATATATATATATATTTATATAAACTAGTGATGCACATAGTATAATATGTTTGCTAAAGCTTATTTTATAGTACAACTTGAGAAGTTGAGGTCAACAGAATTGATTTTTGCTTGCTTGACACTACTATAGAAGTGCAATTGGAATAGGAATTGCAGGGATGGCATGGTTAATTGTGGTGAACTAAACAATATCTGAATTGCTTGAACTTCTATACATTTTAAATTGTTATAATAGAACAAATCATTTATCAGATTAATCAAAATTTACACAGAAACTACAGTAATTTTGGCAGTCCGGTCAAAATAAGAAAAACATCAACTTTGAAGAGAAAAATGTTTCCTGTAATTGTGATTTAAAAAGCACCTTCACATTCCTTCCATCAAATGAGCTTCCCAAGGGCTTCAATGAAAAGCAATTTTATGAATTATCACCAATACCATGTTATAAGTCCACACTCCACCTGTCCAGCAGAAGGACCCCTTTGAAAACTATACCAAAAACACATTGCAAAAGATTTAGGTTGTGTTTGGTGTGGCGTTCTAATCATGACTCCACACTCATATTTGAGTGTGGTGTTTGGATATAACTTACAAAATTTAATTCCACAATCACTATTGAAAACTCGTTCCAGGCGGGGTTTTGAATTTAGAAATTTGGCCTACCCAGTCGTCCTTCCAGACGTTCAGCCGGTTGACTGGAACAGTACTATTCTTTTTTCTTTTCTTTTTTTTTTTTTGGGGGGGGGGCAATTGGCACCTGTTATTTTTTATATTTTAAATAAAAAAATATTTTCGGAATTTTTTAAAAAAAATTATGAATTTTGAATAGAATTTTGGGTTGTGTGTTTTGCTATGAGTTGTAAGTTTTTGAATCAAATATAATATGTTACATTAAAAATTTCAAACTCAATTCAGAACTCTTTTCAAAACTCATAATCAAACAAATTTTTCACACTCAAATCATAATTCCAAAACTCACAAACATAAAACACAACACTATTCTCAAATCATAATTCTAAAACTCTACCAAACACTACCTTAATTTTGAATACCATGCTATTATTATATATGCTTGTCAATGTGCAATTTTACACACTTCTCATATTTTAATTGGTGCAAATCTGTTCAAAGTAATTTAAGTTCATATGATGCAACCAAGCGATTTTGACCTTTACTAAAAAGTTAGTTTTTTACATTTTTAGGTTTTTTTTATTTCATTTCAAAAAATTTGTTTCATAAACCCCAAAAAAACCAGAATTAGATTCTAACATGGGTCTGATGAATTCAAGGATAATGCTCGGCCTAATGAATTCATTACAATGAAAGTTTTATCATTGAAGTATTATAAAAACAGAAAGATCTTATTTTTCATAAACAAAATCAGAAAGATCTAGTAAACAAAACAACCACAAGTTGGCACTTATGGATACACAGAATAATATACCAATATAATAAGACCTTTAATAGAGTTTCCAAAAAGAAAAAAGTATAATTGTGGAGACTCAAGAAACAACGGCAAGAATGGTGGAAGAGAGAGAACCATGTAAGCAAATGACACAGAATTCGATGCAAGTGACAACAAATGAACAGAAGAAAATGGGGAATTTTACTAAAAAGAGAGAACTTACCCCCAGTTGTATAATACATGGGGGATCATGTCTATGCCTGTCCTTGGATCCACCATGGGTAGAAAGCATTCCTCCATAATTGTAAGCGCAACAGCCAGCTTACAGTTGCATTCTGCCTTCAAAGCAACTGACTTTTGGACAGAATGAACTTTTTTATCACCATGAATGCATCTCAGAAGTGACCAAGAGAAGCCATCAGAAAGAACATTTACAATCCCGATGCGGGATTGGAGACCAGAGTAAACCTGCATAAAACATTGAGTCATGTTACCTCAAAACCCATAATGAAGAGGTTTGTTTGGACGGACTGGATAAGGGAGATTGTAATCTATCGAACTGTTAGTCTTGGGATACATTGTCTCTGGACTATTTGGTTGGACTGGATTTGTATCCTCTGTTTGTTTAGTCCTAGGATTAGATGTTTGGATTGAATTATTTTTAGTGAATCCAATGTTTGGTTGAATGGACTAGATAATGATAAATGTTCAAAGGACTATTTTACCCTTGTAATTTATAATTTTTATTTAATACATAATTTTAAATTTGTAATCTATAATTTATAATTTAACAACATTAAAAAAATTTAATTTATAAGGCCATAATTTTTAATTGATTATTTTCAATTAAATTAAATTTATAATTTATATTTTTTATTTAATATATAATTTTAATTTTTTAACAACACAAAACAAATTTAATTTATAAGGCCATAATTTTTAATTAAATTTAATTTATAATTTATATTTTTTATTTAATATATAATTTTAAATTAACAACACAAAAAATAATTTATAAATGTTCAAAATATTATTTTACCCTATTTCAATTGTTTATTAAGTAATAGCATGCGGGTAAAATAGACATTTCACACATTAGTCCCATAACTCTTCCCGAGTGGAAGGAGGGAAATCGTAACTTCCTCGCCTAGGCATCCTAGTAAAAATAACAGAGACACGTTAGCACATCCTGCAACATCAAAATAAATGCCCTAAGGGCTTACATCTTTCCAAGCTAACACTTGGACACAAGAAGGATGAGTACTAACTCTTTTACAAGTTAATCCCATAGAAATAATCTCATCCCTCCCCCTAGGATACAATAATCCCTCATATGAGGGACTAATAGTTCGGAGGGACTATTAATCCGGAGCCAAAAAATTGAACCAAACAATGGACTACTAGTCTGGATGGACTAATAATCCAATCACATGGAGTAATCCCTCAAAACAAACACACTCAAAGTAGAAATGAAATTAGTATACTTTGAGAACTGGAAGCATCCAAACTAGAATGCTAAATGCGACAAAACTGGCTGTTAGATACAATAACTGCATAAGCTTTTTTTTGGGTCAATAAGTGACATTTATTGAAAAAGGGTACCAAGAGGTGCCGGCCATATACAATAACTGTTTATGTCCAAGTTATTACATATTGCCTTCTCTTCTCTATTATGCCACAACCACATTGGAGTCTGTAAATACCTTCTAAGACCTACACATCAGATGTTCTCTTTCAAATTGTTACGTATCTTTTTAATCAATTGACATTTACGGGAAAATTGTAATTTACCTCTTGACAGCTTTCAGCACAGAACCAGGCATCGGAAGCCACTTCTCGATATGTGCGCTGCTGTTTCAGGCATGCCTCATGGTCTGTTTACATGCAACACAAAAATCAGTAGGAATCCAAAATCTGAGCAAAAGAATCATGAACAAAATAGGAACCCAAAATTAAACTAAGCATTGACTATTTACTGGTAGTAATCAAAGTGTCAATTCCTCCGCCAAAACATTCAACTTCAAATTACAGTGTGACTTGTCCATCACATAAAATATTTTGAAGCATATACAGGCATTCAAGACATGTTTAGCTCAAAATAATCTAGTATGAGTAAGGAGGAGATAATTACATTTCTGCTCACACTGCGAACACTTCAATGCACCAGGTGATTTCAGAGCCTCTTTATCATTAACTAAATCACCACAAATCCGGCAAGTGCATTGTGAGCAATACCAATTGCCTTCAGGCAGTTCCTGAAGAAAGGAAACAAAATTGGGTTAATTCAATTACAGTATCCAAGGCAACATTAGACTCCACAACAAAAACAATAAAAACAGAATCCCAAATAAAGCATAAAAAATGTATTAAACACATAATATACGTGGATGAAACTGTAGGACTACCCCGCCGAATTTTATTAAAAGCATAGTGAATGCATATCTACGCCATACAAGGAAATGCGAGAGAGAGGGGAAGTGCGCCTCTCAAAATGAGCAGATGTATAGTTCTGGAACCAAAAGAAATATTTAGAAGAATGACGATAATTTGATTCCCTTCCTCACAAAAACACCCATGGTTTTCAAAATTGGGATTTTGTGTCAGACCGATTAAGGGGTCTTGTGGATTGATCTTAGGATCGGATTGAGGATCGTAAGATTCTATTTTATATTAAAGTAAGGTAAAAACACAAACAAAGGATGATGCCTATTAAAAATAAGGTGAAAAATCACAAACCCAGTGATCCTACTATAACACCGATTCTATTACAATTTGGATCATCTTGTCAATTTAGGGATTTGTGATCCGCTGCTGAACTTATTCCAATTCCAAGAGCTCAGATCGAATTGGTATTGATATACCGATTCGATCCAAGTGCTCTTCCACAATCCATATCACAATTTTGATAACCACGGAAACACATTAGGAGTAATTCTAGACCGACCAGTTAAATGTAGAACACAAGAACATCATGCACTTTTAAAACAAAGGATGTATAAAGCAACAATGACACTGAACGAGTGAACAAAAAAATATAGCCTTAGATGTACAAAGGAATATTTGAGTCTCTGAAATCAAACAAATCTCAATCCATTAAGAGCATAAGAACTTCATTCCACAAAATATATTGCAACTATAAAAAAACTCAAATTAAATAAATGTGAAAGTCTTGAAACACAAAACCAAAGATTAACTTATTGCACAAAGAAACATTCCATCAAACCTCATGGTCTGGCAAGTCACTTATCCGATGTTTAGAAGACATCGACATCTCAATATCTTCATCGTCTTCTATGACCAAACCATCCATCATAGGTGAAGCTACGACTACTAGGGCTGCAAACGAGCCGAGCATTGCCTTGCTCGAGCTCAGCTCGGTCAAAATTTAGAGTGTTCAAGCTTGGCTTGAGCTCAAATCGAGCCTAAATAACCAAGCTTGAGCTCAACTCGTTGAGATAAAATGAGACTCTAGCTCGGCTCGTGTGTGCAATGACCAGCCACTTGAATAGCTTTTGTTGTTGGCTTATCCATTTATATAAAGTTTTTGTAACTATTCAAAACTTTCCGAAAGCGATTTGGGAAGCTTTAAGCATTGCAAACATTTTGTGCAAAGTCCATTCACTGTTTGTCACACATCGAAGAGTAAAGGAAGCTTCAACCATTTCCACCCATCATATAAGTGACTTCCATTCTATTGCCTTTATGTCCTTTGAGCATGAGCATTATAATTTATTTGCTGACTTGGGAAATGGATTACCATTAACTCCTAACAAATATTTTTGTAGAAGTCAGATGTTGCTCAAACAAGTGTAATTAATTAATTAATATATTAATAAAATCGAGTCAAGCTTAATTGAGCCGATCTCACATTAGATCGAGTTCAGCTCGTTTAATTATTGAGCTTGGAAGTATGGCTCAAGCTTGACTCGTTTGGTAATTGAACGAGCTACAACCGGGCCGAGCTTCACGCTGTTCATGAACGGCTCGGTTCGTTTGTAGGCCTAACGACTACTATGTGGAAGGTATAGCACCTTCTGAGTTAAGTTGGGATTATGTATAGGTATATTTCTAGGGCAACAAAATGGAACTCACATATTCTATTGAAATCACTCTATTGCCTATTGATTTTTTTCCCCCCCCCCTTTTTTTTTTTTGGGGGGCGGGGGGGTAGACTTGTACAAAACTTTGCAAGTATTGATGTGCATAGTAATAAACCCATTATCTGTACACATTCCAATACTATTAATTTATTGGGTGCATAGACAGTTGGGACAAGATAATAAATAAATAATTTGTTCAACAAACCAATTTACCATATGTACCCAATCAATCCGACTCGAGGAATCATTTCGCAGACGATTTTGATATATAATACAAGTTGGTCGGCTGCAGTTGCGAAGTTCTTAATTTTTTTTTTTTTTTTATGTAACATATATATATATACTTTTTTTTTTTTTTTTATCAACAACAAAGGACTTTATTGATAAATCAAAAAAGGAAGCGAGGATGAAGTATCTTTTTGCAAAAGGAAAATGAGAATACAAAGAACAAAATCCTAATAAAATAATCACAAGCAAAAGCCTACATATCACATACCGCCAACCAATCTCTAGCTAACAAAAAAAAAAGTGGGACCCCCTTACATAGAGAATTTCCCGAAACCCAAAAAAAAGTTAAGTGGCAAATATTATCCCACAAACAATCCACCTCCCGGAACTTATCTTCAAACAACCTCGCATTTATTTCCATCCATAAAACCCAAAAATCGGTCAAGTGTTGATCTTATAAAATGTTTAACCATTAAACCCAAAACAACCGAAATAATTAAATACATTAAATTACATACGTGCCATAATCTCATTGGTTGGTCATATTACATTTTATCGCTTCCCAGGGTTTATCCGCACGCTATCTTTTTCTTTGGAAAGCTTTTAAAAATAGGACAAGTCATTAATACATTGTCAAAAGTAGGTTGCCTATCCCAAACCATAGAGAACCTTTCAAGAGATAGAGACTACACGTCTTTTGTAATTATGAGACACGGGTTTACACTTCTCTCACACATTTAAACTCCTCTCTCAGACTCACTCCTCAGACACAGATTACACATCTCTTATGAACTACAGAGAACAAAAGTGCCAAATCTATCACCTTCTTGCTTCTCTTTTCCATACCAAGGCAGTGATAACGTCTTTTTTGTTGTTGTTGTTGCTGCTGATAAATCCAAGGCAGTGATAACAATATTGATTCATTGAATAAAGTACTAAATAGCTCTTAGAAACTAAACTAACTAAATAATTGGAAAGAAAGAATTAAGCCACCCAAAAAGAAAAACTATACAAACAAAGGACTCAAAATCCAGCAGTACCAGTGCTATTTGTTGTTGTTGTTGCTGATAAATCCAAGGCAGTGATAACAATATTGATTCATTGAATAAGTACTAAATAGCTCTTAGAAACTAAACTAACTAAATAATTGGAAAGAAAGAATTATGTCACCCAAAAAGAAAAACTATACAAAGGTCTCAAAATCCAGCAGTACCAGTGTTATTAAAGGCGATAGACGCACCAAGGCGCCAAGGTCTCCTAGGGCCAAGGCTCAAGGCGCAAAGCGAGACGTAGGCTTCAATGAAGTGAGGCGCACCTTGTACGGAAAAAAAAATATAATTTAATATAAGTAAATAATTTAGGATTCAACATAAATAAAATGAAATGTTAAACATTTAGTGCCTTTTGGAAATTAGGAATTAGGTCTAATTTTTCTTCTATCATTGATTTGGGGTTGAACACCCGATGTATTAGCATTTGTAATAAGAGTAGGAATCATCTGTAGCTGTACCATATTAAATCAATGGTCAGATTTTAAACAAAACCAATTAAAACAATAACAAAAAAAAGCCCTCAAGACGTAAGCCTTGGGCCAATCAGATGCCTTATCACAATCGTCTGACCTAGAACACTACAAGGCACAAACCTTGGGCTTGGATGGGACTTGGGCCTAGGCGTGCCTTATTGAAGTCACCTGGCCTAGAACACTACAAGGTGCAAACCTTAGGCCTGGATGGGACTTGGGCCTAGGCGCGCCTTTACTAACACTGAGCAATACCATATAACAACTCTAATAACAATTAAAGAAGTTAGCAAGCAACAAACAATATAGGTTTTTCATATTAAGGGTAAGTTTGGCAACATCAAATAGTAACCAAAAAACCAAAAAGTCATTAAAAAAGTCAAAAAGCTAAAAAACTATACAGAAAAATCAAAAATTCCCTTTCCTCTCTATTTTTTGCACTTTTTTTTGCAAGGAGACAAAAATATATATCAAACATACTAATTTTTTTCACATCATATTTTAGTCAAAAAATCAAAAAGTTACTAAAACAGCCAATTCCTAAACCAACCCGAAGAGTTAAGGCGCACACCTTAGTTGCTCAAAAAAGGAGCGGGAGCGGGAGCGTGGCCATTTAGAAGAGTCATAGGTGGGAGCGCTTATGTATTATTTTTATTGTTAATATTTTTAATTTATCTATATAATTTTTATTTTTATTTTTAATTGGCATATATATATATGTTATAAATGAAAAAAAAGTATAAAAAGTATTTGTTCAAATATTCTAATTATATACTTTTATTAGATTGTTTTTTTAAAAAATAAATTTTTTATTTTATTTATTCTCTTGAAAAAATAAAATAAATTTATTTTGTTAAAATTGTCAAGAGAGAGAAGAAGAAGAAAGAAGAAGAAGAAGAAAAAGAAGGCAGAGAGAAGAGGAGGAGAAGGAGATCGATCAACAAAGAAGAAGAGTCGATCGAGAGAGAGACGAGACGAGCCTGATCAATCAAGTGAGGAGGCAAGATCAATCGATCTAGAGAAGACAAGTCACGAGATCAAGATTGAGAGAAGAAGGACAAACAGATCGAGAGGGACGGAGAGAAGAAGACAAAGAGATCCAGATCGAGCGTGAGGATGAGGATGAGGATGAGAGATCAAGATCACGATCAGTTCCTTCTCACATCATATTAGCATTTCTCTCGCATCATACTCGCAATTCTTCTTCGATTCTTCCTCAAAAGTGCAACATCACACTTCTGACTGAGATTCGTGAGCAACTTCAACGAGGCGCGCACACAAAATATATATATATTATGTGTGTGTGTTTTAAAAGTAAGAACACCAAAACTCATGAAAGAAAAAAGGGAATGAGTACAAAATGCAAGGATGATGAATCCTTCAAATCAAATCAAACAGTAAGAATACAAAATAAACCTAGAAAACCAAACAAGTGGTGCCCTATAAGGCTTCTCAACAAGGCTAAAAATGACTATGAGAAAAGGTGCAAGCCATTGTCTTCCTCTTCACAAATATGTCAACAGAGAAAGAACAATTCTGCACTCTCCGTCAACAGACGATTATAATACCACTGCGTGACTTTGCATCCATGCTGCAACATCTTTCAATGGCATTAATAATTAAATTTACTAAACAATGGACCTTGCTCTAATAAGAGAAAAAAAGAAATAAAAATAAGTGATGGCTTGAAATGGCATGTAGATAAAACACAAATCCAAATACTCTCTAGAACTTTCCAACATCCAGGGAACTAAAACTCTAAAGTTTATTACATTTAAGGATACTTAAAAATATCATAAATTCTAAGCAAGAATGAACTTTGTGTTAGCTGGCCATGTTTACCATACGTTGTGCATGTGCACCCCATTACACTAGGCTCATCACCCCAATATACAAGTTGTGGAGATGTGCTGACAAGGCATGCCATGTGCACAGACACCCATGACCTGATTTGCAAAATTATCTGGTGTACGATGATTTTTTATAGGCATGTCCAATGTACAGATTGTGATTGAATCAGCTCATTAACGAAAGACCCATCAGGAAAGTATAAAACATTTTTGACTTTTCATTGCAGGCATTACAAAAGCCCTGGATTTTATCCATGCATAGATTCTTGATTTCTGACCCTCATGTTATTCTAGGATAATATATATATATATTTGCATAAATGTTATTCTAGGATAATATTGCTGCGAAGAAGGATATGTCAATAATTTAAGTCTTCTCAACTCCTTTCCCGTGTTGGTTGGCTGTGAGCTCCAGATGCTGGATTGCTTGATCGAATCGACATTCCTCTATGCAACATAGGAGAATCAGTTGAAGCCTTGCTGCTTGCATGACGTATATATATATATATATATATCACTCAAATTCACTGACAAAACGTCTGTCAGCACCGGTGACAAAAAAGCAATTTCTTTCTGGTCAGGTTGGGGTTGGTGTTCAGTGTCAATCTCTCTTCGTTCATTCAACCAGACATAGCTAGAGATTGAGTGCGAACAGCAAACTAGCTGACTATACCTTCAGTCAATATAGCAAGCCAAGTTAACACATGAAATCATCCTTCGCAGCGTAGGCCCAAGCCAACTAGATATTTGTTGGAGTAACATATATTTCCAGTGTTCAAAAGGAAACTCCAAATAAATTTTGCAACATTAATGTGGCAAATTGAAACTAAACAGTATCAAAGGCAAAGCACCAAAATATGAACATAGAGCATAATGCAGACCCCTGGTACATTTAATAACAACAGATAGAGAAGAAACTAAGCAAATATTACTACCGGAAGAAACAACCAAATAATTCAAGAAACCAAACTGGGAGAAGAGCTGTAAAGCAAGCAAAAGACAAACCTGTGCATACAAGCATGCCTGATGAAAAGTGGATGGACAGTTATCACAGCATATCAACTCACCCCCATCGCCACATAGACCACAACTGTCATCATTCTGATCAATTTCCTCAACTAGAACAGGTCGAGTGGCATTTTTCCTGGCCGTGTATTCAGCTGACCAAGCCTTAAACTGGCATAAAGCGAATGGCTTACCAGACTCCATGACAAGATTCAAACAAGGACGGTTTAACTTGAAACCGGCATGAATCTTGAACTCAGAAACAGAAAGCACCTTATTACAACATTTACATAAGATACCATCTCGAGTAACCAAGCCATCTTTGACCACAGCATCATCCTTTGTATTTCGAAACTGAATCACTTCATTAAGAGAAACAACCCCAGAATCAATCAACCAGGACAATACTGTTCTTACACCAAAGATGGACCGTTTCCATTCCATGTGCTTTCCCCCCTTACCCAGGCTCCTAGGAAGCAACCGGCAACTGCCTTTTTGGCTCTTGTGTTTTCTCAGAGCTTCTGATTTGCGGGATTTCATTTTTTGAGTAGATTGTTCGGTAGTGGATCTGAAGGCTTTGTTTGTTATGACAGCTGAAATCAAAAGATCATCATCCTTAAGCTGGCATGTAATTGATCTCTTCTCTTCATATTCACTTTGAGTTTCAGGTTTTCCTAATTTGATGTCTTGCCTCAAAGTTTCGGGATCCATAGAGTAACACTTTATATGCATAGAGACTTCATCAGTGATATTTTCAGAGTTGAACTCCTTAGAATGCTCACTATCATGAGAAATATGGTTCGATTTCCTAAAACTTTGAGAACTGTGATGAAACTTTCTAATTTTTGACTGTTTCTTCCCACTACGGCATTGAGAAGAGGACAACTTGTTGCAACTTCTATCATTTCTTACATTAGTAGCTACAAAACACTCCTGGACTTCTCCAGAATCTGACCGAATGTGATTCTCATTAATGATGTGTCCTTCAGCCTTGGAAGTTGACGGACCTAACAAATCATTTTGACATAATGTGGACAGTTTGATTTCAGATATCTTTTTTGATTTCTTGGGTGCCTTCCTTTTCAAGCTAGCATCTGCTACAGAAGATGCATCATTCATCTCAAATTTTGAAGCTTTAATGCACTGCCTACTAACCTTTCCAACAACCTCAGAATGTCGCATGACCTCTGTACCATCCACATCCACCAATTGGCTATCTTCAACAAGAGGTGGTCTGCATGGAACACTATCTAAATGAGTACTCCATGGCACATGAGTCCTATCTTGGTCATTCAACTGATCCAGACCATCGTTTCTGCAGTTTAGATGGTCGTCATTGAGGGACCCCTTCGACTGCCTTGCCCCCTTATCCATAATATTTCCACTGAAACCTTCACCCCCTTCTGAAGAACCCATTGATACAGTTTTGTCAACTTCCAAAGCCATTATATTTGCATCTCCAGATGTGACTGGAACTTCAAACAGGCAACTACTGGAATGGTCACAAGTGCCATCTGCCACACAAACTTGTAAAGAACTCAGATCCTGTCCGCTTATTTTGTTCTCAGAGATTTCCCTTTGTTGAGTTCTTGTCCCACTGACGATATCTCTGGAGCCTGTGCACTTTTCATCATGCAAGTAAACCAGTACTCCCTTTAGATCTGTTGCTGTTTCCCTGTGCAACTGTCCAATGTCTGCAGAAATTCCATTACCACATTTTTCATTGTAGTCACAGTAATTCCCTTCAGAATTTGTCAATGCACTTTCCCTGACAAAAGAAGAATCACAAAGCTGATCTGACGAATGTCTCTCAGATTGGCTTCCCATACCATCCACATTTTCCAAGGCCAAAACAACATCTTTTGTGGATGTATCAATCACAAAAGTTCTCCTAGTTTTGACTACCTTTCCTTCTCTTAGCGTGCCAAGTTTCTTGTCAATAAACACCATATCCGCAAAGGGATCAAGAAGACACCACTGATGTGCCAGTGCAGCAGTAGTTTCTGAATTATTCATTTCTTCCTCAATTTTTAAAAATGTATTAGACAGATCAGACCAGAAATCAGTCATATCAGTCCATTGCTTACCATCTTGCTGTGCAACTTTTAAACCGGAAAACAAAGTCTGACCACATAGGTTCCAAGCTCTATGAAACTCACGAACCGGTCTTCCTCCTTGAGGTGAGAAATAAATAAATTCCCCATTAACCTTATTGTCTCTTGTACGCCTCCCAATCTCCCATCCTGCTGCTTTAAGCAAGTTCTGGATCTGGTTCCGTAGAAGAGGACGGGGATCCTTCGTAGAATCACTATTCGATGATATTTTAACTACTGAGGGTTCATGAATATTGGATGGCTTCATTCTTTCCTTAGGGCATTTAAGTGATGCAGACTTATTTGCAACAGCAGCAGATGGACTTGTAACCAAAAGCTTGGTTGCAAAGCTCTCCTGAGAAACAGGGGAAGCAATAGCTTTACTTGCACTTACTTCCTTCTCATCACTTCCATCCAAGCTTGGAAGCCTACACTTAGAAACTTCCCTGTCACCCACACCACTTCCAGAATTTGTTTCAGCATGTCGTTTGAGCAGATAGCAACTAGAATTAACACCCTGACTGGATGATTCAACTAAACGACATGTTACAGCCTGACAAACAAATTGTGAAACTGGTTGGGGCATTCCAGTAGCAACTCCTTTCAAGGGAGCCGATGAATTCAAAATCCTTCCAGAATAAGGTCGAGAGTAAGAAAGGTCATCAACTGATAACTTCATTCGCTTAATATTCACATCATGGTCATTCTTCAACAAGGCACGTTCTTCTGAGAAATACCCTGGTCCAGATTTCTCTCTTGAATCCTCCTTTAAATTACAAGAATCTACCTGACTGGTTATGGCTGAGTTTTCATTGTTTGAGAAAAGGGACACATCTGTCTGCTTACTGTAATCACATTCAAAATTAATAACTCCGGTAACAAGACACTTCTTGCTAGTTCTGCCATGGTCATTTCCAAAGAACACTTCTGTAAAAATACGATGCTCGTTAATTGACCCCTCAAAACCATCATCATGCAAACCCTCAATTTCCTTGTTGAATAACATCTTTACCAACTTATTGCAGTATTTCACCAACGCAGTTTTCCTTGCTTTGTTCTATTCAGTGAACATAGGCACCAAAAGGCCGATTATACCTCTGAGTGAAAAAAAAATTCACGTTTTAACGACTTTGGGGAACTGGAAATTTCCAATTGCAAATCAATGTATAGAAAAGAAAAGGAGAAATTCCACCAAAGCAGAGCTCCAAGGACAAACCAGCCGATAGTTGTCAAAACATCTGCAACCACAATAAATAAATAAAAGCAAAAAATAAAATAAATATAACCAGAAAAAAAAATTATATTTCTTCCCAGCTTGCATAAGTGCTAAAGCTCTTCAGAGTCGAAGGCAATGTGCATTTTACTTATAAACAATTCCTTAAACCACCCTCTAGTCTAGTCCACAATATAACTCTCGAATACTTGCCACAATATATTATGAAACAAAGGGAAACAAGATCATGCCCATTTCCAAGTATCAAAATACGAATTAACAAATGTGTGTTATGAAGCATCAACGCTCCAAAATAAGTGCCGTACTGGAGTTAGACATAGTGGCAACATGTACGGGACACGCAAGCTAGCATGTCCCTTTATTTAATTATTTTGTTTTTAGGGGACATGCTAGGGACAAGCCAATTAGTTCCCCTCTTTTTTAGTGTTTTTTATAGATGTTGGATGTTAAATGTTTATTACATTTTGCTTAAATTTAAATAATTAATAGATCATCCATAAAAAATAAAAATAAAAATAAAAAAGAGAGCTTAATAGAGAAGATAACCAAAACTGCACTTGTTTTGGCATTGTCGAATGACCTAGCAAAAACAAATCATTCAAATTACAGTAAAGTTACTAAACAAGACATGCACTATTGAGGCATGAATAATTTGATCGCTACTCATTTGGAAAGTCATAGAAGTGTAAACATTTTTGCTGAGTTGGAAACTTGATTGAATTATGGTATCTTTGATTATACTTAAGTTCAGCTAAATCATGTTTCAATATTTTGCCCTCATATCTACACAAAATTAATACTATTATATATATATATATATATGGAATTATATTAAAGAGGGTGTCACTCATAGATGTAATGATAATGAAGAATGACAGGATCACCATAAGTATAGATGCTAAGGGGAGGAGAAGACCTAAGTTGACATGGGAGGCAGTAGTGAAAATATATTAATTTAACTAAGCATGTAGCCCTTGATAAGATTGAATGGAGAAAAAGGATTCGTGTAGCCAACTTTGAGACACAAGGTTTAGTTTAGTTTGGTTTGTCACCCACCACTAGACATCATTAAAAAAATAAAAATGAAAAAAAGAAGATACAAAATAGCAAAACTATATGTCCTTCCCAAAATGTAACTCTCCTATAAAATCCACCAACAAAAAGAAGATTCACAAAACTCCTTCAACCAAAAATGTGTAAATCAAAGTAAAGAAAGCTAAAGTATTTGTAAATCTTTAAAGGTTCGGGATTTCTTTCTCTCCAAACACACCACAGATATGAGTTGCTCTCCATGCCTTCTTCACCCCCTTCACACCAACCTATATTCCCAACAATCATAAAGCTAAAATATAAAAGCTGACATCACCCAACTCACACCAAATATAGAAAACAATAAGTTTTATCAGTCCCTGGCAACATCACAAGGGATCTACAGGTGACCAACCAACTCCTTCACTCCTGCGCACATGCACCATCATTTAAGCAAAAGGAAACCTCTCTTACCCAAATTATCAATAGTAAGAATAGCATCTAAAGTCGTCGTCGTCTAAACAAACAAAAAAAAAGAAAAAAGTTTGGTGGGGATCCTCAATTTCCAAACTGACTTGTCAACCTCCTAATATGTTTCTTTATTTTCTTTAAGTTGCACGATAAAATTGGAAAATTTGCTGTATATAAAGATGCATCCTCCTAAACCAAAAAACATATGTTTGTATGCTGTCCACAATTCAGTTGAAAAGAGAGCACCAAAACTTCAAGTTCACACTATTCCACTATTACCATTAAAAAAAAAAAAGAAAAAAGATAAAAGATAAAAGAAAAAAAAAAGCTACAATTAAAACACACGAGAAAAAGAAAACAGTAAAAGCAGTTAGATAAGTAGCAAAACATCCATTTTTTTCCCGTTAACATCTCTGGTATGCTCTTCTCCAAATGGAACTTTAAATCATTTATGCAAACCACTGCAGACACCCCAATTGCTGCCCAATTAAATAAATGTAGAAAAAGAAAAAAAATTAATGTTCAAAATTGCAAAACTGCACAATGCATGACACAGAACTGAATAGACCAAGATCCAAAATGAGAATCATGGAAATTTGAATGCCCCACAAATAGGATTACAAAGAGAGAGAGAGAGAGAGAGAGAGAGAAGCTAAATTGCCATCAAATAATCTACAGAATTCACATATGATGAAGTAATTGATTTGAAAAAGTTACATAGATAGAGAGAAACCATTTATCCGAGAAAAAAAACCACAAGAACACAGAACAAAGGAAAACCCCAAATCCAGTAAGAATTTATCAAACCACATCCTCAAACATTCCATAGAAATTCGAAACTGAGAAACCCATAAACAAGACGATTTCAAAACACATGCATTTTGCACATCAAAAAACAAAAACAAAAAAAAAAATTGAAACCTTCAGATGAACAATGAAGCTCTAGAACTACATTTCCACCATTTCACTGGCATGAAATTCGCAGAAAATCTCACCTTAGCAATGCATTTGCCGACGAGCAGCCGCAAGAGATTAGGGCTTGGACCTGAAATTAGGGTTTGAGAGCTCAAGCGTTACGAGAGGTATAGAGAGATTAGAGAGAATCTGGCAGATGTAGCAGAAAAAAGGGGCCACCTTTGGCTTCATCACTATCACACCTCACACCACGCTAGTATATATACAAGCAATTGAGATGTAGATAGAGAAAGAGAGCGCGCTTTGGAAAACCCGGATAGTGCTCCAAGTATACAACAGATGGCAAACTCCACTCTCTCTCTACACCAGCTCCCTCCTCTCTCTCTCTCCCTCCATGTGAGTAAAATGACATTTACAATATGTCTACCTATATTATCCCACGACTCTTGTCTCTTTGTTATTTTTTCACCAATTCTTCAAAAAAAATTTTTAATTCCATGTAAAATTAGACACAATTTTATAACTAATTTTACCAACAATATGTGTTTAATTTTGTCATTAGACTCTTCGGTACATTTATAAAATATTTCATTTATAAACCCGTGTTTTATTTCAATGTTTTAAAAGGGATATTTTTTGTTTATGTTTTTATTTTCTTTCTTTCTTTTTTATGTTTTTTAAAATGGTGTTTTCAAAACAAACAATGAAAACTTGGGAATTATCTTTTATGTTTGTGAGAAGTAGTTTATAAAAAATCAAAAATAACTCTTGCATGGTTTCAAAAAAAGTGAGTTCTTTTTTTGAAAAAAAAAAATAACAGAAAGTAGAAACACAATTATGTCTTTGATTTTTTCTCCTTTATTATTGTGTTGTTTAATGAGCAAAAGAGTAATCTTTGTTCATTTGTTTTATTGGATTAATTATTCTTTTCCTTTCTTTTTGTTTGTTTTTTTACTTCTTTCGATGATAAATGGATGGATCTTTGGAAGGCCCGAATGTGTTAATCATGTAAACTTTCTAGGATATAAATGCATACAGATTATACACTGGGTACCTTTTTCTGTTGTTTGGGGGACCATAGAAACAGAGGACGAAGATGGAAAAGTTTTCACTGGATTTAAGTTTTTAACCGACAAACTATGAAAACGACAATTGTTTTTTCAGTTGTCAATGTTGCGAAATACGAAACAACCAACGGTATTAACGGCCTATACCAGTTCACTTTTGTTTTACTAGCCGTGTACTTTGCTTGTTTGCATAGTAATTATGAAAGATTTATGATTTTTAAATTACCTTAATTAGTGTGTGATGTTTTATTTTAAGTGTAATTTAAGAATTATAAAATTTTCATGATTATTTTTATAAAAAAAATTTCATAATACCTAACATTGCTGTAATAAAAAATATGGTCATTATTAACACGTAAATACAAGTCTTTTTGGTGTTTATTATGTCACGACACAATTGCATTAAAATATAACTACATCCCATACATGCACCAGTACACAATTCGCCACGTGCTTTATTTGATGTATGGAAATGATATGTAATTTGCCGCGTGCCTGAGTCTAATTGCTGTTACTGCTAAATGTAAGTCAATGGTAATCCACTGATAAGACTCATGTTAACCAGTGATTATTCTTAACTGGGTTTGCTATGTTGTTCCTAATTTGGTACCTCTTTGAACTTAATCTACATTTTTAAGTGATGTTTTTTCTTTTTATGTTTGTGAATCTTCAATCAAACTCGATGGAATAGCAGATTGCAGACAGGCAATGAAGAATGTGAGAAGTGAAAATTTTCAGTTTCAGTGTAGAGGTCACCAACAATGAAACAAGCAATTGTTTTGCTTTTGCTTGCCACACTTCTACTTTTGTCGATGTTGTTCAAGCTCTAAATAATAGAGAGAGATGGAAACCAACACTATTACTTTTGTCTTCCAACTACTTAATAAAGATAAATCATTATATTTTACTTATAAAAAATATTTGTTGTGTGATTAGTTTAGAGTATCACTTAAATCAAGTTACATTATGCTCTAAAATTATTGAATAATTATTCAAACTAGGCATGATACATATAAACAATTATACTGTATCTAAGTATTAGCGTATACTCATGCCTAAAGGCACGGTGTAAATAATTTTAAGATTAAAATGCAGTTATAATTTATACGTATTATATTGAAATTTATAAAGTTTGTGTCATTTTTTGATAAAGATATTGAAAAAATATATTGAAATATTTTTCTTCTTAAAGAACTTATAACAATTTTGCTTTTATTACACGCTCTACAAAACTCAAATAAAATAACAGCTCTCCCTAATCTTAATGCAAATTAAGAAATAAACATATAAGATTTAAAGTTATATTGAATATTAAAATATAAAAGGCAGTAAAAAAAAGTGTAAATACTGAATAAAAAACAGAAATAAAGTTATACTGTCATACACCAAAAAAGTAGGTTAAAACTTTACAAAAAGTGGGTTAAAGTTTTACAAAAGATGTATACTTTACAAAAGATGTGTCACTAACATGTCATACACCAAAAATTATATTGTCATACACCAAAAATATGTATGGTTTACAAAAGATGTGTCAATAACATGTCTTCAAATATGCGTTTGCCCAAACTTCCTCCTCATTTCTTTCCAAAAAGTCTTTGTATCAACTTTTATGTATCCCCAATGAGGAATATGCACAACAATCTGGTAATTTGTGGAAACAAAAAAAATATAAATTAGCACATTTGTTGGAACTATACATGCCAAAATACTTTCAGATTAAAATTACCTTATTACATCCGCATCGAAGCAAGGTAGTCGTATTTCTCCTTTTAAGCTCCATAGATTTTTCAGTCCAATCCTACAAAAGTCCAAATTTCAATTAATAATAATTGAAATTTTTTAAAAAGTTATATAATCAACAGAAATAAATCTACGTGGTTACCTTCTAAAAAAACGTCATTTAATCTGCATAGAATATTACAGCAATACTTCAGGATAAATAATATTTGTAGTAGAATCCAAATTATCTTTAGGGAGGAGAATACTTATACAATCAAAAGATGTACATCTAGACAATGCCACATATAATTGCCCATGGCTAAACACTGGTATACGCAAATTAACCCTAACAAATTTCACAGATTGTCCTTCAGATTTATTAATGGTCAAGGCATATGCCAATCAGACTGAAAATTGACGTCTTATCATTTGGAAAAGCATTTCTGAAGAAGATACTGTCAAAGATATCCTTGGTATGAATGCCAAATTGCCAAACTTTTCTCTAGTTAAAATTTGAGCTTCAATTATGTGAGTGTCGCACCTAGTAACCATCAATCTTGTACCATTACATAGTCCATCTTTCGGTGCAATGTTTCTCAACAATATTATAGGACAACCCACTTTCAACTCTAACTTAAAAGTTGGCAACCCAGGAGGATCCAATGAATTTAAATACTCATTAGGATATCGATTTGTAATGGTAGGATCAATTTCATTATCTTCAGACATTTTATCTTCTACAAGATAAGTATATAATCTTCCTGGAAAGATATTCAACGCAGTAGTATTAATGTCACTGACATCATCGTTACACGCAGACAGAATTGTGCATTCAGTTAAAAATGTTGGGGTTGGGGTTGACGTCTCTGTCATATTCAATTGTGGATAAACTGTAGAGAGTAATTCATTCAAATCTTGACATTTGTGTATTGTTGACGGAAGGTTAACGATTTCTTGAGGATTGGTCCCAATCTAAAAAAAAGTGAAATCAATAAAAAAGTAAGTGTAAACACAATTTATTAATTTAAAATAATCTATCTAACACAGGTTAAAGTAGTGTTACCTCCATCAAGAAATTTGCAAAATTAGCATTTTCATGGCCTTCATGATTCAAGCGCATATTCAAATCCAAAGTCAAGATACATATATGCTTCCATAGAACAGAGTGTCTTAATGATACATTCACAATTTGCTCACGAACTCCTTTGGGTATAACTAGGAAGATTTGTCGAAAGTCTCCTCCAAGAACAACAGTAATACCCCTAAATGGCTTTTCACTATCACAAATATCCCTCAATGTACAATCAACCGCCTCAACACAATGCCTATGTTGCATACGAACTTCATCCCAAATTATGAGTTTTGTTTCTCTAAATAACTCAGCTTGTAATGATTGTTTGCTAAACCCACAAAGTGAATTTTTCAATACATCACTACAGGAAAAGTGGGTTTATGAAACGGAACTATTTGCGACGGCACACTTGCCGTCTCAAAAAGTGACTTTTTGAGACGGCAGAAAATGCCGTCTCAAAAAAGCAGAGTATTTGAATCGTATTGTATAGAAATGTTTTCCCTGTTCCTGCACCCCCATTCAGAAAGAAAACAGTTCCTTTATTTTGAAAAACTGAAGAAGTGATTGTATTATAAGCATTCCGCTGTCCATTATTGAGACAATCAATAGTAATTTGTGGATCTATATGTTGTGCCTCACTCTGCAGTTGTTGATGTTCGACTATCAATCGATTACCAACTACTGCACTCCAATTTGTAGTAGGTTGTGGCATGGGTGGGAAGTCAATTAAACTTTTGCCCGATTCATGAAGCATTTGATTCAAAAGATGGAGACCATAATCTTCAATTTGAGCCTCAGTTGGTTTAGAAATGACAAACAATGTACAAATCTTATGTGCAAGATCATCACATATATGCGTTGAAAATTGATTCCATAATGCACATGGATTTAGTGGAGAACACTGGGTGAGAATAATACTAAACAATCTCCTCAATTGATATCCAGTTTTTATGACTGCAGCCTCTTTCAAGCATTGTATCAATTCTTCATCATCTTCTAAAAGCCCCCTTGCAACACATGCTAATTTAAATGTATCATGCACAACATTATCGACTGTGCGTAAAGACTGAAACGACTTTGGTCCTTTGACAACGGTTAGAAACAAACGTAGATAAAATCTTTCACCACAATTAGGGCTAGCAAAGTACATTCTACCAATTGCATATCCCCTTTCTCTTGATTTCCATTTCTTTTCTGACTTGAGCCAAACAAATAAAATAAAATTTAAGTAATTAAGTCCTGACATAAAAATGGGACTCATAAATTCACTCTTTTATTTCTCTCTCTCATTCATCACTCTTCTCTCTCTATCTATCTATTTGTCTCTCTCTCTCTGTGTCTCTCATTCATCTATCTCTTCGCTCATCTCTCTTCTCTCTATCTCTCTCATTTCTTTTCTCTCTCTCTCTTATCTTTCTATCTCTCTCGCCCATTTCTCTTCTCTCTCTATCTCTCTCTTTTTCTATTTCTCTCTCTCTCGCTCATCTATTTTTGCTCTATTTCTCTCTTTTTTTGTCTATCTCTCGCTCATCTCTTGTTTTTCTCTCTTTTTCTATCTCTCCTTCTATCTCTCTCTCTTTCTTTCTCTCCCTATCTCTTTTTCTGTCTATCTCTCTCTCCCTGTCTCTCTCTCACTCATCACACTTCTCTCTCTCTCTCTGTCTACTTGTCTATTTGTCTATTTCTCCCTCTATCTCTCCCCTTCTCTATGGGTCTTTGTCTCTCTTCTCTCTCTCTCTCACTTATCACTCTTCTATGTCTGTCCGTCTCTCTCTTTCTCTCTATGTCTCTGTCTCTCTTCTCTTTCTCTCTCTCACTCATCACTCTTCTCTGTATGTCTGTCTCTTTTTCTCTGTGTCTCTTGTCCATCTCTCTTCTCTCTATCTCTTTCATCTATCTTCTCTCTCTTTTTTTTTCTCTCCCACTCTCTCGCTCATCTCTTTCTGTCTCTCTCTTGTTTATCTCTTTTCGTTCTTTTTTTTTCTATCTCTCTCTCTGTCTATATCTTTTCACCCATTTTTTCATCTTTTTCTCACTCTTTTATTTCTCTCTCTCATTCATCACTCTTCTCTCTCTATCTATCTATTTGTCTCTCTCTCTCTGTGTCTCTCATTCATCTATCTCTTCTCTCATCTTTCTTCTCTCTATCTCTCTCACCCATCTCTCTTCTCTCTATCTCTCTCACTTCTATCTCGCTCATCTCTCGCTTATCTCTATGTCTCTCTCGTTCATCTATTTTCTCTCTATGTCTCTCTCGCTCATCTCTCTTCTCTCTATCTCTCTTTCTGTCTCTCTCTCTCTCTCTCTCTCTCTCACTGTGTTTATGTTGCTCACTCTCTTCCTTTCGTCTTCTCTATTTACTGAGCTCCCTCTCGATTTATCGATCCACTACAAGAAAATGTACTTTTAGCGACCACTTTGTCTCTTTCTCGCTCACCACTCTGTCTCTGTTTCTCTCTCTCTCTCTCTCCTCTATCTGTCTCTCACTCATATCTCTCTTTCACCACCCATTTCCTCTACCACCTTCACCACTACTGCAAACGCCATTTCACTACCACCACTACTACCACGGTCGCAATTTCACCTCTACGACTACCATTACTACTACCATCGCCACCACTCCACTACCACTATTGCCACTATTACTACTACCATTACCTCTCTTTCACCCCTGTCACTCCATCTGCTCTACCACTACCACAACTTCACCACTAATCACCACCACCACCACCACCTTCACCACTACTGCCGCTTCCTCTCCTCTACCACAAAATATTACCTCTCTTCTCTCTCTCACTCATCACTCTTCTCTGGCTGTCAGTCTTTGTCTCTGTCTCTTTTTCTTTCTCTTTGTCTCTCGCTTATCTCTCTTCTCTCTATCTCTCTCATCTCTCTATCTCTCTTCTCTTTCGCTCATTTATCTTCTCTCTATCTCTCTCTATATCTCGTTAATCTCTCTTCTCTTTCTGTCTCATTTTCTGTCTTTCACGCTCTTTCTCTTTTTTTTTCTCTCTCTCTCTCTCTCTCCCCCACTGTGTTCGTGTTGCTCACTCTCTCCCTTCCGTCTTATTTATTTACTGAGCTCCCTTCCGTTTTCTCTACAACTATAATTACTACCACCATCGCTACCACTCCACTACCACCACTACTATTACTATTACCTCTCATCCACCATCGCTATTCTATCTCCTCTACAACTACCACAACTTCACCACTTATATCCTTCACCATCACTACCACCACCACTATCACCTCTTATCCACTACTTTCACCACTACTGCCACTTCCCATCCTCTACTACAAAAAATTAGTTCTTGATTTTTAGTAACAAAAAAAAAAAGGGTCGCAAAATTTTTTTTTTCATTGACCACAAAAAATTAACTTTATTTTAATAGAAAATATTATCCTTACTTCTACCAAATAAAAAAAAATAATAATAATTTTTTATTCATTAAAATAAATATGAAACAAATAAATTTTCAACCTTATTAAATGAAAAAAAAAATCATTAACTAAAAAAAAAAAATATTTTAATAAAAAATATTTTTTTTTGGGAAATTCATCAACTATAAAAAAAATTTATTTTAATAAAAAATAATTTTTTTTTGGCAACGGCATCCTCCGTTGCCAAAAAAAAAAAATCATTTTATTATTTAAATTTTCATTTGTAATGAAAATAAAAAAAAAAATTTCATTTGTAATCCCCCTTTCCATTCCCGCTTGGGTCTCCCCCCATCCCAAACTCAAAATCCCCAATCTCTTGAACCCAAAATCCCCAATCTCAAAATCCCTAATCTCTTCTTACGTCTCTCTCTCTCTCTCCTTCTCAATTTGTTTCAGATGCTGATTAGGATGATCCACGATCGAGGAGGAAGAGGAAGAGCAGGAGTTCTAGGCGTAGAAGTAGGAAATCGGAATCAAATATCAACATACATACATACAGACTTGTTTGAATCGTCAATCAAATATCAACCAATCGATATCGATGGCTTCATCTTCGGATTCCATGGGCAACACTTTCAGAGCTCGAGTCCAGAAGATCTTCGGGTCTCTCATCATCATCATCATCATCATCGCTAAGCCCTCCGTGGTCTCTCACCGACGACGAGGTTGGGAATGTGACAAGGTTGGGAATGTCATTAAACAAAATTTATATCTTGAAATTTTCTGTGGAGCTATATTGGAAATAAAGAAATGTAATAATCGGAGACAAAAAAATTCTACATGTTTGATTTCTTATCGGAGGTAATCTTTGCGTCTAAAATCACAGTATCAAAATTAGGATAATATGATGGCATTTGATTCTGTAAATTTGTAAGCTTGATGTGTTCCTCTCTTTTTTCCTTTTTTCCTTTTTTTTTAAAAAATTGATTTGATTAGCTAATGATGATATAGAATAGAATTGTTTCTTATTTTTTGGTTTTGTTGAAACATATATTGTTTTTTTTTTTAATTTTTATGTGATGAAGTTTCATTGGTTATTATTTTGATATGATTCTGATGATTGGTGAAGTGTGTCGTAAAGGCTCTAATGCATCAAGAGGTGAAAAAAATTATTTTATGTTGAGTGGAACATGAATGAATACCTGTGTGTAGGCTCAGCTAGGAATGTTTTGTGCACAAGAGGTTGGAAATGTGACAAGCTTTGCAACTTCAAGGGCACCCTCAGACCATACTAGTTCCTCTTTGTTTGTTAAGAGAGTGGCTCGAAATGGTTCTCCCCCATGGCGAGAAGATGATAAAGATGGACATTACATATTTGCGCTTGGCGAAAATTTAACTTCTCGCTGTAACTACACTACCATCACCAAAGATATTTTCATTTTTCAATTCACTTGATCATTTTGTGAACTTTGAAGTTACTAAAATGAACATGCACCACCATTGCTTTTTTTTCATTGATGTGGTGGTGCTATCATTAAATAGGGCTTTTGCCTTATAAAGTTTTTATGCAAGTGACTGAAAGTCATAAGTTGGCTTTCTGATGTGACCTATTGAAATCCTTTTAATAGCAACTTTTGCATTTGATTATAGCTCTACTTTCAAGGATATATGCATAATTTTTTAATTAAACAAATCCAAGGCATTATTTTTGTCTCAAAACTCATACTAAGCAGGTTGTTTGATGTGTCTAATATTGTTATATTAATTTTTCTTCATTAGATTCTTATTTGTTTCTGATTGTACTTGTGTTGCTTTGTTGTTTGGGTGCAGATAAGATTCACAGCAAGATGGGCGAAGGTATTTCTTAATAAACATATTTCTATTATAATATTACTGAAGTTTAATTTCAGGCTCATCACATGTCTTGTTTTTGTTGATCTATATTTTATATAGGCACCTTTGGCCAGGTCTTGGAATGTTGGGACAGAGAAAGGAAGGAAATGGTTGCCATTAAAATTGTTCGTGGTATTAAGAAATATCGTGAAGCAGCTATGATAGAAGTTGAAGTATTGCAACAGCTTGGGAAACATGATAAGGATGGCAACCGGTGAGTTTTATTTCATGAGTTTAATGTGTTTCAATCTCTCACTGCTATTCCTCATGTTTTGGTGGGATTTTGTAAATTCTGTGTCAGTGGTTAAATGGGTTTATTCCTTGCAGTTGTGTGCAAATAAGGAACTGGTTTGACTATCGTAACCATATCTGTATTGTAAGTATATAATTGATTTGGTGGGTTAAATTCCCCAATTTCAAGAATGTTTTGGGGTTAAGACTTGTGGATGGATTCAAATGGCTTTAACAGGTGTTTGAGAAGCTTGGACCAAGCTTATACAAATTTCTACGGAAAAACAATTATCGCTCATTTCCAATTGATCTTGTCCGTGAGATTGGCAGACAACTGTTGGAATGTGTAGCATGTGTGTAGTAATTACTTGGACCAGTTTCTTTAAATTCATCATATTATTTTCCGTTTTCTGTTTTTACTAGGTTTGGTTGGTGATAGATGAAAGCTAACATTAATTCATTTCAATTTTATTTTTAAGCTGCAAATTCTTTTATACAAAGTTCTGCTAAAGATTTTTGTATTTAGTTAGCTTCCTCATCACATGCATTAATATTTGGCTTTATTTCTCTAATTTGCAGTTATGCATGATTTGCATCTGATTCATACGGATTTGAAGCCTGAGAATATTCTTCTAGTGTCTTCAGAGCATGTTAAAGTTCCAGATTACAAGGTAATGCATTGTTAGGTGGTTATTTGAATCTTTCTTCTTCTTGTCTATGTATATTGTACATGATGTATAGTGGACTTTCTACTGTTAACTTGTGTTGAGACCTTATCTTGTATTCTATGTGAACAGGGTTCCTCACGATCGCCAAAGGATGGTTCTTACTTCAAAAAAGTTCCAAAATCAAGTGCCATCAAGGTAATTGATTTTGGCAGCACAACTTATGATCGTCAAGATCAGAGCTACATTGTATCAATTCGACATTATCGGGCACCAGAAGTAATTCTGGGTATGCTATTCTCAACTGCTATGGCTTATCTTTCACGTTTTTCTGATGTACCTTTAAGACTGGAAGACATATCCAATTAGTAAATTTTTTTTATGATTGTCCAGGGCTTGGGTGGAGTTATCCTTGCGATGTTTGGAGTGTTGGTTGCGTCTTAGTGGAGTTGTGCTCAGTATGTTTTATGTCTGTAATGAAACTCAAAACATTTAGACTAATACAATTTTAGAATTTTAAGCTTTGTATTAAAATTTTGAGATGATGTAAAAATTGATATGGTATAAAATTGGGATACTACCTGACTTCCATGAAAACTTGTATTCATTTATACTCATTCATGTACTTGGAGTGCTGGGGAATTTAAACTGCTTCCTTCTCTTAGCTTTTGGTTTGAATTCTTGTTGCTTTTATAATTTTCGCATTAGTTTTGTCATTTTGTCTATCTGAGGTGGTATTAATATGCAACAATTTATTCAACACTGGTTTTTAAATGTTTTGTCTTTTGATGTGTTTTGCTCTCTGAATTGCTTTTCATATAGGTTTTTGCATTGCTCCTAAGACCACGGAAGGACCACAAGTTCCGATTTTACTGGAATATATACCATCACAGTATGGGATATGCCATAGTCATCCTCGGCATCATCAATGTGTTTAAAGGGCTAGACATCTTGCTACCTGCAAACAAGTGGAGATCAGCTTACATAATTGTGATCTCTGGGTTGGGTATTATTGCTATTTTGTTGGAAGCAATTACATGGGTTGTAGTCTTGAGGAGGAAGTCTAACAAGTCAACTAAGCCCTATGACGGATACAACGGACAAGGCAGGCAATAGCCCCTTGCGTCATGATCTATTGATGCAATGAGTTTCCATGTGAGTGTCTAATTCTGTGTCATCATCCCTTCTCATCATCAGTTGTTTGAGATGTCACAAGGTTTATTATCTATTAGAGAGAGACAGACTTCACTTTTCTATTCATCATTTGTATAATGTCTTGGACACACATTGGATATCCTTGTAGTATAGTAGTATATACATAGGGATTGTTGAGTTCCATTCTTTCTTGTTCTGTGTGGTTTTTTGTTAGTGCCCTTTTAAATGGATTTTTGGATTTTCGCAATCTCTTCCATAGCTGGTTGAATTGTATTATCTGAGAAATTTATTGACTAAAATGGCTTTCATCTTGGCTCCATCATAATAGGAATCTTTGTGAGCTTGGCCCCCTCTAGTTTTGATACATAAATGTTGACAACAAACAGAAATTGAGGCCAAGATGGTTCAAGGGCAAGTTGGATGAAAGAAACCTCCAACAAATATGCCAAATATTATGTGGCAAGTCAAAAAAACAATATTTGATGTGTTTATAAGCGCTCCAAAGAAGATGCCTTTGGCGTAGTTGGCTACTGAGATTGATTCACCCAAAAAACTTGGAGGTTGGCATTATCCTGCTGTCCAATTTAACATTTTGGGGAGTGGATGCCAAATTTATTCTTTTGGTTCTTTGCGATCATCGGAGGATTTTTTTTTTTTGTGACGGCGCTACACTGTCGCAAAAAAAAAGAAAATTTTATTATTTTTATTGATTTTGTTACAGGTTTTACTTTTTGCGACGACACTAAACTGTCGCAAAAAATAGAAATTTTATTATTTTTTTAATACTTTTTGCGACGATAGTACACTGTCGCAAAAAAATAGAAATTTTCATATTTTTAATACTTTTTGCGACGGCACCACACCGTCGCAAAAACAATGTCTCTCGCTGTTGCCAAAAAAGACTATTAGCGACGGCATTTTTTGCCGTCTCAAATAACATTTTTAGCGACGGTAAAATAGTGCCGTCGCAAAAAAGTTAAGAAATTTCAAACATTATTAGCGACTGCAAAGTGCTGTCGCAAAAGGTAAAAATGCCGTCGCAAAACATTAGCGACGGCACTGTACCGTCGCAAAAAGTCTTTTGCAACCCCCCCAGTTGCGACCCCTCTCTTACCGTCGCAAAAAGTCATTTGCCGTCGCAAAAAGTTTTTTGCGACGGCATTAGGAGTATTAGCGACGGTATTTTACCGTCGCAAAAAGCTGAAATTTTAGTAGTGCATCTAACGAATTGGAAAATGTTGAATGTGCAGTGCGACCTCCTACCAATAACAGTGATACAATTCCGGACGAAGCCACAGTAACAACGATATGCCCAAGGCTACGACATTTTAATGCAATCGTATTGTATAGAAATGTTTTCCCTGTTCCTGCACCCCCATTCAAAAAGAAAACAGTTCCTTTATTTTGAAAAACTGAAGAAGTGATTGTATTATAAGCATTCCGCTGTCCATTATTGAGACAATCAATAGTAATTTGTGAATCTATATGTTGTGCCTCACTCTGCAGTTGTTGATGTTCGACTATCAATCGATTACCAACTACTGCACTCCAATTTGCAGTAGGTTGTGGCATGGGTGGGAAGTCAATTAAACTTTTGCCTGATTCATGAAGCATTTGATTCAAAAGATGGAGACCATAATCTTCAATTTGAGCCTCAGTTGGTTTAGAAATGACAAACAATGTACAAATCTTATGTGCAAGATCATCACATATATGCGTTGAAAATTGATTCCATAATGCACATGGATTTAGTGGAGAACACTGGGTGAGAATAATACTAAACAATCTCCTCAATTGATATCCAGTTTTTATGACTGCAGCCTCTTTCAAACATTGTATCCATTTTTCATCATCTTCTAAAAGTCCCCTTTTAACACATGCTAATTTAAATGTATCATGCACAACATTATCAACCGTGCGTAAAGACTGAAACGACTTTGGTCCTTTGACAACGGTTAGTAACAAACGTAGATAAAATCTTTCACCACAATTAGGGCTAGCAAAGTACATTCTACCAATTGCATATCCCCTTTCTCTTGATTTCCATCTCTTTTCTGACTTGAGCCAGACAAAATGTTGTGGAAATTCTTGATAAGTGAATGGACATTCATCTTCACTGGCAGCACAATATGCAAAGAAGCCAGTAAGAGTTGACATTTGTTGACCAGCTCTAGATTGAATCGTTTGTAATGACTCTTCTGGGTTAAAAACAACACGATGCATTCCAAGTAAATGAAGTGTCAATCGTACAACTGTTGGCATCTCTGCATGCAAAGGATGACCAAATATTCGCCAAGCAGCTTCTGGAGGTCCAATATACCTTGCATCGAGATATTGTTGAATCTCATTTATCATTCCTAAAACCATCGTTCTACAATCATAACCCTTATAAATGTACTTATGTATATACTTGACAAATCTCATTCCGGCACAAACTTCTACATTTATATGACAGTTGAAAAGTTTTGAAAGATATGCATTGTATGGTACGACATCCCTGTTATCAACTTCTTGCCCTCTCATAGTATGTACTTGACCATTATTGCGACGACGATAGATAGGGTATCCATCTTGATCCATAGTTGTTGTTTCTGTGAAAGCTCGAGGGTATCTCTTAGTGCATCTACCATTTTCCATACATGGTGCTTGCGGATTTCGAGCACCACATGGTCCATGTACCATACAACATTTGATAGTTTCAAAAAGCATTGGATCGTCTTTTGGGTCTGGAAATTCTGCACACACCAATTTGTCTACTTGAGCACATGTCCAAATTTTGTCTGGACCCTTGAGAAATAAAAGTGCATGCATATGAGGGAGGCCTCGTTTTTGAAATTCAATTGTAAAAACATGTGCAACTTTATTTCCAAACACTTTATTTGTTTCTATCTCCTTCATCAAACATTTTCTCTTCAACTAAAAAACACGGGCAATTAAATCAGGACGATCAATAGGTTTTTGATATGGTAATAATGCTGAAGTAATTTCTGGCCAATTGGGATTTGCAGTCATGGTAAGAAAAATATCTGGGTGTTGGTTGTATCGTGTGATAGCCATTGAATCTTGAAAGATTTCAAACATATGTCTAGGACTACCAGTAAATGAAGATGGCAAAACAAACCTTTGACCAATTTGTCCAGGTCGCACATAATCTGGATCCATATCTGACAACTCTTGGTAAAGCTCAGCCCGAAGTTTCCCTTGATCAAGCTTGTAGTATGTTAATCGATTTTGCTCAGTTGCAGCCCAAGCATCTACCAAAAACTCTTGAAATAGTTTCCCACCTCTCAAAATTGTTGAATACTCTGTGGGTCGTTCAAACAAACGATAACTATAAAAATTCATTTGAGTAAGTCGATCAGTTGAAGGTCGATCATACTGAACATTCCACAATTTCAACTCAGGTTCCCATCCAAGCTCACCATATGGAAATAATAGAACATAATGTAATGGCAAGTATGCTGGGTGACATTCATTAATTTGCATCAACTCATTATTTCCTCGGAAATGTAAAATAATATCTCTCATTCCATTTACCTCTGTTCCATCACCTGGTATTACAATTGCAATCTCATCTATAGTTGGTAGGTTATACCGACGTCGATCAGTTGTTGAACTGTAATGAAGATGAGCAGGTAGATTGTATCCTACCGTGTCTAATTGATGTAAAATGGCATGAGCCTAGTGATATTTATCTACAAATGCATTGACTTGCAACAAACTATCCTGAATAGTTTTGAGAACATCCCTTCTCAAGTTACGATTTCTACGATTACGAATTTCTAAAGCTGAATAAGGGTCATAGATATACAGCTGAGCATAACTCGCATCCTGCCCTGGTTGTGGTTGTAGTGATCCTGTTCGATGTCGCAAATCCCCATGAATTGTGAATGATGTAGGGCCCCTTCCACTGAGTACTCTAGGATCCAATGAATCACCAAGACTCGTAAAAGCATTGGCTGCATTGTACACTCGAGTATAACTTCAAAAGGATTTTGATTGATCATTATTCCCATCATACAACGC